CCCCCACAGGGTGGATATCTTCATCCCTATTTTATAGATGAGGAAACAAGGCTTAGAATAAATCTCTGTTCTCTCTGGCTATATGCCATACTATCTCAGAAACTGAACTTTACAGTTTAAAAGAATATCCTTGTCACTCCCAAACCCTTTCAGTAGGACTGACTGGCAAAACAGGTAAGGAAAAGAGCATTCCAACAACATGGAAAAGTTTTTAAATTAGATTAGACCAGAGATTCTTAGTTATTATTTCCAAAAATTAACCCATCCCTATTACAAAGCAATTAGAATTAGGATATTTAGGTAAATTAGAATCTTTTAATTAAGGCACAGAAGAGATTTTTTTTAAAAGCCCGTTAGGTGATTATAAGGCACAGCCAGGGTGGAGAACTACACTGCACCTGTAGAGAGGTATGTGGGAATAGCCATGGTCCATGTGTGAGCTGTTCTCACATCAGAATCACAGTGTTAATGTGGGGTGTGTGTGCAACAGATGTGTGTAGGTTGGTTGACTGACATCTGGAAAGAGCTTTGAGATCTGGAACATTAAGATAATGTGCATTGAAAAGTTCAAGAACTATAGAGATAAATTGTATACTAGTAAATGTACATCCTCAGCATAAGTAGAAGGTACTTAAAATTGTGCCTTAATTATGTTAGTTGGGAAATTTAGAATGCTCTGCCAACCCTTTTTTTATGCCACTATTTGTAAAAATACATCTTTGTTTTAGTTATGACATCATGAACACCTTTCACAATTCAAAGTGTTATAAGGATGGAGAAAAGCCATTGACGTCACACAGTGCATGGCAGCTGTTGCTGTTTCCGTCCCTTCCATTCTTTTTTCTTCTTTTTTTTGTATTGTTTAAAGTATTACAAAGAGTATTACATATGTCTCCTTCTCCTCCCCCCCCCTTAAAATTCCCCCGGCCTCCCCCCCTTCCATTCTTTCTCTTGTCTTTTTATTCTTCCCTTCCCTTTTTATTTTTTTAAAATATATTTTTATTGATTTTAGAGAGGAAGGGAGAGGGAGAGAGAGATAGAAACGTCAATGATGAGAGGGAATCATTGATTGGCTGTCTCCTGCACGCCCCCTATAGGGGATCCAGCTGCAACCTGGGCATGTGCCCTTGACAGGGAATCAATCCTGAGACCCTTCAGTCCGCAGGTCGATGCTCTATCCACTGAGCAAAACTGGTTATGGCCCCATCCCTTTTTAATCTCTTCCTTTCCCTACTCAACAGAGAAATTTGAGAGGTAGTAATAGAGATGGAAGTGTTAATTTTATAGATTAAAAAAGGGTCAATTCTTATAGTTGATTATAAAGTTTGGTCTCCAGTTCTCATAAAAACAAAAAACCACCGGTTAAATATACCATTTGTTTAAATTTTTCCTCTTTCCAAAAAGTATCTGAAGCTGCACCGAACATTGCAGAAAATTAACAACATATAAAAATAAAAGTGGCCATAGCCAGTTTGGCTCAGTGGATAGAGCGTCTGCCTGTGGACTGAAGGGTCCCAGGTTTGATTCTAGTCAAGGGAACATGCCTGGGTTGTGGGCTAGGTCCCTGTAGGTCCGTGGTGGAGGGTGTGCAGGAGGCAGCCAATCAATACCTCTCATCATTGATGTTTCTATCCCTCTCTCCCTCTCTTCCTCTCTGAAAGCAATAAAGAAAAAAACAAAAAACAAAAAAACCCCCCAAAAATAATAAAATAAAAGTAAAGTAAAGATCTTGGAAAGAGGGTGCAGCCTTATAATAACCATAGAAGTTTCGCGGGATTTTGTGAATGAGTAAGAAATTTACTGTGGGCTTCCCAATAAGAGGAGAAGGAAGTTTACATAATGTAGTTAGCAAAAAGGAGGAAGTGTGCAGCAATTACTCAGGGATGACAAGAAACTTCCGCTTTGGGACCTTCTAGGTGACATTGTGTGTCAGGAAAGCAGCACACGCCCTTGACTACAGCTTCATAGCAAGTAGTTTGATATTGCTGTTCCTTGTAGTTGAAGACATAATGCTAAAGCCCAGCTCAATGAGGTTGATCTTCTAAGGTTGAGATATTGGATTTTAGCTGATCTTTACAATGTATCCATTTTTTTCTATGTTGACGTTTATCATTTCCTCCTTGCTTTTCTTTAGAGATTTCTTTAAGTCAGTGGTTCTCAACCTTCCTAATGCCTCGACACTTTAATACAGTTCCTCATGTTGTGGTGACCCCCAACCATAAAATTATTTTCGTTGCTACTTCATAACTATAATGTTGCTACTGTTATGAATCGTAATGTAAATATCTGATATGCAGGATGGTCTTAGGTGACCCCTGTGAAACAGTCGTTCGACTGCCAAAGGGGTGGTGACCCACAGGTGAGAACCGCTGGCTTAGAGTCTTCTGCTGGTGTTGTCCGGTCCTCAGGGGTGATGGGAAGCTGAATCTGAACTGAATGGGGAAAGCGATTTTTGCCAGTCAGAATCTGTTTGGGTAAACTTGAATTTCAGTTGTCTTTTTCATTTTCTTTTTGACAGCAAACATTAATGCTTGAGGACACACTGCCACTCATTTCTGGAAAGCACCAAATATTTGTTTTTTATCTGTGAGACTCAGACAGAATCAGTTCCAAGTTGTTCCTGTAGATACTAAAGATAAATATTTAAATTAAAAAAGTTTATAAATTATGTAATTTACTCCATCATCTGTGGAATTATGAATTTTTTCCTAGGGTAGGTTGAAAAATTTATTGAACACTTACTTTGTAAAAGACATTACAATGAGTAATAAGTGCAGAGTAAGGGTATACATTATACATACCAGACATGGGGTAGCCCACTGTAAACTTCCAGTCTTGTCGAGAAGTGAAAATATTACATGAAATTAATATTTTAAATTATTTTAAAGTAGAATGTTTTTAAGAGACAGTTATTTATTGTAGTGAAAGCTAAACATTCATAAGTTTGGGGTACTGTAGAAAGAGAGTATAATGAAGTTAGAGATAGGCTCAGAATAGGTAGATTCTAAACCAAGTATCAAAAGAAACAGCATCTGTTATTAGAGAAAACTAAATCAGGAAGGAGAAAGATTAAGATCATATTTTGAAAGTTGTCTTGTGTTTTGGGGAAACTTCTTGAGAGGGAAAACTTATCTAATAATAATTTTCATTACAATATTATCAATAACTTACTAAAATGTGAGTGAGGCTCTTGTGAATGACTCATTTATTGCAAGTATTTGAAACACAACATTGCAGCATGAAAAAATAATAATTAATTTTTTATTATTTCTGGCATGTGTTTTAATAGTATATGAAGTATATATAGTATATACACATATTGTGTATGACCCCAGTAAATTCCTTGATTTTCAGATAATATGAAAACTTGAATTTCAGTTCTCTTATCTGTCATCTATCATCCTCATGCGTAGTGTGACTGCTTTTCATGATTTATTGGAAGCATTATACTTAAGTTTAATATTTCAAGACTTTTATTTAGAAAGGTATTTTTCTTTGCTTCTGTTTTAAAACTATAATACTCAAAGCAATATATTAAGATCTCTCTTCTGATCTTTTAAGTTTAAAATTTTAAAAATTAGTTTTGAGTTTATTTCGGGTTATTTTGTAACATTGAAGTATTTATCTCTTAAGATTCTTGAAGTGTTTTTTCCCCCTCTTTTTCTTTTTAAAAAAGTCTTTGGAATCTGTATTTAAAAAACTGAAAAATGTGTCTTCTCTTACTCATACACACAAAATACCTCTTCCTATTATAGTCACTAGAGGCCTGTTGCACAAAAAGATTCGTGCAATACACCTTCCCTCCCCCTGGCTGCCGGCACCGGTTTTCTTCCGGCACCCGGGACCCAGGCCTTCGCTCCAGCTGGAGCCGCCTTCAGTCTTCGCTGCTTCGGCCAGAGCTGCCTTCCAGCCCACCAGCCCCGGGTCCCCCGTGGGAGGGCGGGATGAGGGCGGGGCGGGTGCCCGATCTCCACAGTCCCACCCGCCAGCCACAGGTCGGGTCGCACAGGGGACGCCCGCTGCCCTAGGTCACAGATAGCAGGCCTGGATGGCGGCAGGGCAGGTGGGATGGCGCTGTTCCACTGTGCCTGCAGTATGCAAATTAGCTGCCATCTTTGTTGGTGGTTAATTTGCATATCTTGCTGATTAGCCAATGGGAGGCATAGCGAAGGTATGGTCAATTACCCTGTATGTCTATTATTAGATTAGATACTTTATTTCAACTACTCCATTGGGACAACTAATTAGTCATGATGAAAAAAATATTCTATGGTTCTTTCTCTTTTTAATTCATACTATTCTTCTGAATAATCCATTGTCATCCATCCATCCATCCATCCATCCATTTGTTTTTTTTTATTTGTTCATCTCCATTTATTCTTTTATTTGTTCATCAAATACATGTTAAATATCCACAACATTCAAGAGAATGAAGTGGTGTCTGGATGGATGAGAAGGTGCTATAAAATTGCCTACATCACAAGACTTATGACTCTGGGAGACAAAAGTAGAAAATGTTAATTTTCATAAGTAACATCATTAAGTAACACACTTTAGGAATTTGCAGATAACAAGGAAAATTTCCAACTCATAGGGATGTGGGTTAAGTGCTTCAGAAATATTTTTTCAGTTAAGCTGACCTACTCAGTCCTTGGTGGTTTTTCTTTTTTCTTTTTTTTATGAAGTAACATATTTTACTCCTTAGCATTTAGTAAAATAAATATGATTGAAGGTAGATGTTCTCAACTCGAAATTAATAGTTTATGCTTAGATTTTCAAGATATTTCACATTGTTAATACTTTTTTTGTAGTTAAAACACAAATATTATTATATACTCATTAACGTGACAGAAAGTATGAAGAGCTATCTGCCCTCAAAGCTCATGCTCTTTCCTTTTCTTACTGAAGAAAGCTTAGTTGCAATGCTGCCATGTGTTTTGAGAAGTGCTTATTGTGATCTTTGCTAATTTTTGTTTAATGTTATAAAACATTATTTTCAGAGGCAAAATCAATCAAGGCTTGAAGGACTTAAAAGATGTTGTTCCAGTAGGAGAGACATTCATCCATGAAGGACTAAAGAAAGTAAGTTTTTTAACATTTATGCATATGAGAGAGAATGTTTTCTTATGCTGTGATAAAATAATTTATAGCTCTCTAGTCAAAATGAAAATCGTATTACATATCTACTTAGAAAAAAATCTAAATTCATTTAGTTGTTTTAGGAATGAGGCTGATAGAAAACATTACTTATCATGATAAGAAAAATTTTATTTGGTATTTTGCCTTTTAAAATTATTTTATTTTATTTTCTCTTTGGTAGACAACCAAAGCTAAAAATCTATGTCATTTAAACCCAATAGTAACTACTCTATAAAGTAAATATATGTATATTTCAATAAAATAGTTAACACAAATACTGTATTTTAAAAGCCAGTCCATAATATCTTGATTTTGTCACAATTATAAATTCAGTTTGAATAGAACATGCTGGTTCAAAGTTAAGATTAAATTGTGAGTTAGATAATTATTCTTCATTTTCAGGCAAATGAACAAATTGAGAAAGCAGGAGGCTTAAAAACCTCCAGTATCATAATTGCTCTGACAGATGGAAAGTTGGAAGGTCTGGTGCCATCATATGCAGAGAAAGAGGTGAGTATTGAACTGAAACTGTTCTTTATACCCCAGTGTATTCATTGATTGCCTGATATTTGAGTAATATCTCTCTCTCTCTCTCTCTCTCTCTCTCTCTCTCTCTCTCTCTCTCTCTCTCTCTGCCTCTGCCTCTATCTCTATTTCTCTCCATAGGCAAAATTAGCCAGGTCATTTGGGGCTAGAGTTTATTGTGTTGGTGTCCTTGACTTTGAACAAGGTCAGGTGAGTAGAGCAGATATGCAAACTTTAACCTAAATCATATAATTGTCTTAAGGCTAGTTTATTAAATTCCTTTCACTGATGCTAAAGATCCTCTATAAAAATGCGCATATTCTTGTATGTCTTGATTAATAATGTCTGATCTTAACAGGTTTTATTACTGAAATACTGAAAAACAAAATTCAAAATTTATTGAACGTTTTTTGGTTTGGAAGAACTCAGGACAAACATTTAGGTTAAAATAATATAAGTACTTCTGTTCTTAAACTCAACTGACAAGATTATTATGACATTCTTATTTAAGTGTTTTATTTTGATTTAAAACTAGACCCTTAGGAGTTCAGGGATTTAGGAAGTTTACTTATGAGAAATCTTTTTTTTTTAATATCTTTTATTAATTTTTTACAGAGAAGAAGGGAGAGAGATAGAGAGTTAGAAACATCGATGAGAGAGAAACATCGATCAGCTGCCTCCTGCACATCTCCTACTGGGGATGTGCCCGCAACCCAGGTACATGCCCTTGACCGGAATCGAATCTGGGACCCCTCAGTCCGCAAGCCGACGCTCTATCCACTGAGCCAAACCGGTTTCGGCAGAGAAATATTTAATAATTTTCTTTAAAAAAACTTTATTTTCATGAAGTTTTAAGGTTTTATATATTTAAAATGTTTTTTTGCACTCACAAAATGATTTTGCATTTAAATTTTTGGTTGAGCATGACTAATTAGGACTCCTGTCTCTGGTGACATTTACAGCTAGTAGAGTTCTGTACTGTTCTGAAATTGAAACTTGAGGCCAACGTAAAGCTGATCTCAGTTCATTTCATTGTGATGCATTTAGAGTATCCCTAGTGCCATTTCTGACAGGCTACAGTAGGGGATAAATCTTGTGGTGTAATTCTTCAGAAGAACATAATTAAAATGTAATGAAGTTTATAAAGTGTTATATGTCTCGACCACCTCTTAATTAAATTTTTCTCCTCTTTCTAAAGCTCGAAAGAATTGCTGATTCCAAGGAACAAGTTTTTCCTGTCAAAGGTGGATTTCAAGCTCTTAAAGGAATAATTAATTCTGTGAGTATTTCTCTGGGGAAAAGAAAGGCTCATAATTTTAGATACATTTTAAACTGTAAGAAGTAATCCTGAGATCCAGTTCAGGTGGTCATTTTCTTGAAGAAAGAGGTTAAGGAGGAAGGTTGTTCAGCATGGCAAGCACCATGTAATTCTGAAGATCTAGATTTTGTTTGTCAGATTTGGTGTTAATTTTTGCAAATTGAGCTCTGTGAGATTGCGCTTGTGATTTCAAGTTTAAGATTTTCATAAACAATCTTAGACACTTCTACCCTTTGAGCATGGCGTTCCTCAGCATCTTGATAGCTGGAGAGTTTTATAGGCTTTATAGAAGCAATGTCAAATAAAAATTTGGATTGGAATGTGTGATTACTCTCTTTCCAATATGGTATTTCCTAGCTGTCAGTCAGGCAACTTGAGCCACCGGCTGAATATTTGACTGCTCTTGTTGTTCTTTCCATTTTAATGATTAATAGTTTCACTGGAACTCATAATATTTCTGTTTCAAATTCAGCAGAGCTGTCTCTGGTGATCATTAGAATCTGGGCTATCCTAAACAGGGTATGGGGAAGTGGAGTGATGAAATGCAAAGCAAAACTCCCGGACTTTCACAGCTGAGGTTTATGTTTCATTTTACTGCCTTTTGCTAGAAGCACTAGGAACAGTTGCTATTAAGTATTTATGATATTTTGGTAAACATCATCCTAAAATGGAAGGGAATAATATAATATTCTCTAAGTCAAAGCTTTTCCTTTAATCTCTAGGTATTTATTGAAGGGGGAAATATTGTAGTTTCTTCTGACGTTGGGCTCTGGCTTTTAAAATTTTTCTTTAAAGATCATGTTTTTCAGAAACAGAGTGATAGTTATTGAATTTGGTTTTAGTATCATGTAAGCTCTTTTTCCTATTTAATTAATGGAGCTTTTCAGAGAAGACATGTGATTTGGCCTTATCACATATTAGTACTTCTAGTGGACAGGCAAAATGTAAATGCAGACTGGAACAGAGATTTAAATATTTTAGGAGTTTACATACATTAGTAGTTTTTATGAAAAATTGCAATATTTTTATAGCTGGATACAAGATAAATATTTTACAACTGTGATTTGCTTTAAAATCTAGGAATATGGGTGGACATTGCAAAATAGAGGATAATTTGACCCAATAAATCAATCAATCAATGGATTGTATTTTAAATAGAATTTTATTGTGCTTGGGAATTTATAATTATTTAATAATTATACTGGCATAGAGAAAAGACCTTACTGAGTTATTCCCTTTGGAATATTTTTTCTCCATATAAAAAATTCAATTCAAAATTCTCCACATGACTAATTTCCTTTTCAAAACTCTTTATGGGTTATGATTACAGATTTCTCCTTCAAGAAATTAATAGTTAACTACCAGAGGAGATAATATTATTGTTATTGCTTTGTTATATTTATTTGTTAAATTTCGTTTTTAAAAATTTGTATTAGGGAAACTTTAGAATGGAATTTCTAAATACAGTCTTTCTTTCCTGAAGTTCTTGACGGACTTTAGCTTGAGTAAATTGTGTTGAAAGACTTAGCATATGTTGGAGCAGATGTGGAGAAAAAGGAACCCTCATTCACTGCTGGTGGGAATGTAAACAGCCACTACGGAAAGCAGTATGGAGATGCCTCAAAAAATTATGAATAGAGCCTCCATCTTACCTAGGAATCCTTCTTCTAGGTACCTACTTAAATAAGACAAATTATCTTCTCTGAAGGGGCTTGAAAATAATGATAAATTGAGTTTTGGAATATGGTGATCCCCTGCAAGAATTATGAAGTGTGGGGATTTGGAGGTGGGAAATTTCAGTGATCTACCCTATGTGGTAAAAAAGAATCCTATAATGTTATTTATATTAAAATGACAATATGGCTACAGTAGAGTTGCCAGAAGGATGGGTTAAGTTTGATATGTAAAGTCATGGAAGCTTTTTGTGGTAGGGATTGGATTGTACTGTGATAATTGGAGTAGATTGAATTAGAAACAAAGAACATAGACTTTTAGGAGCAGCTTGGGCTGAGTGACTGAGGCGCAGGAGGGAGTGTGGCTTGGCCTGGATCCTGGAGGGATATGGGGGATAAACATTGACCTGCAGGCTGGGTCCAGATTATGGAGGCCTTCAGATGCTTGGATGGAGACTTTGCACTTATCTCATAAATAATTTTGGAATCATGAAAGATTAGGGTATGAAATGTATACGATAGCAGTGAATGTTTAGAAAGAATCCTTTTATGATAATGTAGAGGATGATTTGGAAGATGGAAAGGTGTATTCTAAGTGTCTTGCAGTAATGTTTGTGAGACACGGCAAAAGGAAACTTAATATAGTGGAGACAATATGGTTGGGAATAGAATGACCTGACTGAGTTCCAACCATATCACTGCCATGTGGCCTGTATATGTTCTCTAATGTAATCTGAGTTTTAAAATTCTCATCAGCCCAATGGGGATATTAACATCTATTTAATTGGGTTGTTTTGTGAATTAAATGAGATGATGATTAAGAATGATCTACTCAGAAGGGCTGGTAGGAAGCGAGGAATGGCGTGAAGCTGGGACTGTGTAGGAGAGGAGTCCCCTGAGAGAGATGCCAGCATTCTAAACAATCAACAATTTAGTCCTAAAAGGGCATGGCATTGATATGTGAGAGGATCAAATCTAGCAAGTGGGTCATCATAACAGAGTGCTAGATGATGTTGTTACCCATAGTCATGTATTTGGCCAGGCCTTAGTTCTAAATCCTTAGGCCATGGAACTAGGGAACCAGTCAATAACTGGGGAAGGAGATTCAGTCTTCCCAAGACAAAAATTATGTGGAATTTCAGGATGCTGCATTCAGAAAAGAGCCACCATTCTCATGCGGGACCCTGTAGTGCAAATTAGTGATGCAGAGCAGAAACCTAGTTTTTAAGGAGAAAACAGCATCCCTGATGGATCATACTTCCTCAGGGCTTATTTCAGGCACTGGGATGCTAGGTCTTTTGCAATAAAACTAGGTCAAGAACCTCAAGGGAAATGACTAATAGACTGTGCTCTGTCAGAATCTTATCAATAGACAGGGTCGGACTGAACTCTAGGTATGAAATGTTTTTCTTTCTGAGTCAGGCTCTGAAGGCTCTGGCAAATATTAACTGGCAGCTGTTCATTGCTGTTGTTACTGTCATGGCAGTGAAACTGGAAAGAAAAAGGTAAACTTGGTAAGCTTTAAAAAGTTAATAGGACTTGAGAGCTCACTGGATATACGATGAAAAGGACAGAGGGGCTCACATGCCCCCTTGGGCATTCTCCCCCTGACTAAGACGACTAACTAGAAACAGTGAGAATGAAAGCTCTTTTTACGAAGTGTTAGAAGACAAGGTGGAGTTGGGTAGGAGGGCAGAGAGAGAGGGAGATGTCGAATTGGGCCTCAGGAGAAATCCTAGAGGGAGATGTGAGATGTCCCTTCAGGAAGTGGAGGTCCAGTGAAATGTTCAAGTGGGAAAACTTCAGAATTTCAGTCATTGTTTCTCCTCTTGTTCTTTCCTCCCTCCCATTGCCCACAAACACAGGGTATGATTCTTCTGTTTTCCACTTTAGGTTGTCATTAACGTCTTAGAATGTTTACCATTTATTTTTGGTTTCTTAGAAAAGTGAGCGCAGGACTTTTATTTAAAAGGAAATATTTAAACTAGTATAAGTCAGACTGACATGTGAGTACCACGTGGTTTCTGGTTTAGTGTTTCATAATGCAGTGCTGTGGAAGAAAACATTAACACTTTTGAAAATCTAGGATTGCTGAAAAACATGGAAATAATAAAAATCAAAATGCTCTGTGGAAAACCCCCCTCCTTTTTACCCCCCCTCCCCCCAAAAAACAAGACCATGGGATGTTTTTCTCTTTGCAATTAGTTCCATAATTTTTTTTGATAGAGTACCTCAGAAAGTAGTAAACAGAAGAGATGAATCACTTGTGAAGCTGGTTGTATAAATAGCCCTCATCGGGAAGAATTAAGAGCTCTGAGTCCCAGGTGATGGCAGCTACTGTCCCAGTTTCTAAGTCCCTAATGGCAAAGTACAGGAAGGTAAATAGGAAGGGAATGATTGCTCACACGTGTAGGAAATTTAAATAAAACTGTAATGCATTCTGTATAAAGGGAAAAAAAGTGCAACATACATTTAAAAAGTAACTTCATTCCTAGTGCTGAAAATAGAAGCTTCGCTGGACCTTTAGAGCTAAATTATTACAGTAATGTCTATTATTGTTGTTTGGTGTTTTTGTTTTATTCTTTAAAAGTATCTCAGAAAGGTGTCTAAACTATGTTTTAGTGGAATGATAAAACATTGCAAATTCATTTTCTCTTCAGGTAAAACATTTCCATAGAAGAGGGTACATAATACACATTCTGATAAGACCTTCGCTTAAGTGATTTTAGCAGGTTCTACTACGAATGTTGACTGGTTAGTTGTGGAAATCTTTATTTATAAAATCATGGTTGGATAAAAAGCCTAAAGTCTGAGCTAAGTATAAAGATATATTCACAGGGAAAAAAACAAAACTGGTAGGACTTACTCAAAATTAGAAATCAGTGTCTATGACTCTTTTTTAAAAGCACTGGCTATAGTGTAAGGCTTGCTATAAATCAAATTCTTCTGGGCTTCTGTTTGTCCAAGGAACTTCAGTACTGAATAGAGATGAGGAGTCTCATCAGGACATCTTTCATATTAATTGTAGGAAGGTTGGGACTATATTTTCCTCCTCCTTTTTATGCCTAGTGTCTAATATAGCATTGAGTAAGCAGTCATTACTTAATTCAAATGTATAAATGAACAAGTCAATAAAATTTATGCCTCCTGAAATTATTTTTGTATTTTTATAACATAGTTATAGTGTATTTAAGCATTAAGAAAAGCAAAAACTTTTTTTCTTTTTCAGAAAATGCTTAAATTTGTTGCCAGAAAATGCTTTATTCTGGTTCCATATAACTTAGACTT